TACTCCAACGAAATTGGATAAGTTTTTTTCTCTTCTTTTCCATTACACGTCTTTTCAATCGAAGCTGGATTCCCTGGATCACTTCCACGTATTGAATTGCCACAATCATTTTGCCTTATCCTTATTGTTTTTGTCATTTGCTTCATAAAATCCACTGATGTGAGGTGAGGTGGCGGTGCTCACCCACGGCCCTTGCTCCACGCCACTATCTTCCTCTGAAGGCAATCACCGTTGAATCTCTAATGTGGTTAACATTTTATAATTCTGATATTTCTTATAAGCAATGTGGGAGCACTAGTCCTTATTCCGCTATGATTTTGGAAAAAATGAAATAGTTGTGTATGAGAATATGACGTCAGCATGGGTTCAAAATCATACAGGCATGAGTTAGTCATCGAAAGCAACTCTGATCATTCCATTGCCCATGATTCCAGACGTCGATTTTGTTTGCATTATATGGCCATTTGTTTGCAAACGTGAGGCACTGTGTGCGAAGGTCGATGTTGCCTTTCACCGCGGTTTGACATTGCTTTTTGAAGCTTTTTGAGGGAGTGGGCCCATTGGAAAACTTGCGTCTGGTGTTACGCCAGAACGAATATAGTGTTTACAAAAACATTATAGCAGCTAATCAGTCGTTTACTTACACTCAAGAGGTTCAATTCCCAAGTACTATTGTTTTAACCGAAAATGAATCGCCGAAAGTGGATATTAGAACAGTTATAACTGGAATTGTTGCAGTAGTGTTCAGCAGTGATAAGCCTGAAGCGCTGTGTTACACTGAAACATAGAAACAATATTTCGATGGTTCAGATATCGAGGCGCAAATCAAAAAGGAACGGCTTTGGCTGGGTTCGTGCTGAAGTTTTGGGAGCTCTGGTGAACGGTGTTTTTCTACTGGCTATGTGCTTTGCGATATCATTGGAGTCTATTGGACGACTTATACATTCCAGACGCATAACTCATCCTCTTCAGGTACGCATTTTATGAGATATTATTTGCATATAGGTGCATCCATGGTGATGGAGGATTGTAGGCCCATTTGTGGTCGACCACATTTTTGTGTCGATAGAAGGAAAAGCTCCGTACCTTTAATGGAGGTGTAAGAATTTCGTAGGCATATGTCAACAATTTGATCCTACAGGAGTGCACATCTCTTTGAGTGACAAACTGGAGCTAGGGCTGCTTGGCAGATTAACGATTACATCTGGCGATGTACATTTTTCTTGTTCTTGCAATTAGCTCGGGAAATTTTCACTTTTTGCTTCGAAGGACATGATTTACACTTTGCTGACATATTAATGTTTAAGAATAACTGTCTTCAGATATTCAGGTATTGATAGTGGGATGTATCGGTCTTTTCATTAACATGATTGGCATCGGCATGTTTCATGGGGGGCACGGGCACTCACATGGTGGTGGAGGACATGGACACAGTCATGGAGAGGTAGGCGAAGCGTTGGCAGCGACATGGGCTTTTGTAATTGAATTACAGTCGATATCTCGAAGTCTGATTGGGCGTGTCACCGGAAATGACGTGGCAGCCACCGCACTTGATAGATGTTGTGTGGATAAAATACTCCGCCAGATATCAGCAAAGCGTGTTGGAAGCAGCTTATCCGCGCAACTTCTATCAAGTGCGGTGGCTGCCACGTCATTTCCGGTGACACGCCCAATCAGACTTCGAGATATCGAGTGTATATCGACTGTACGAAGTGTGTAAGTTTTGATATTCAGAAGTCTTCAAAGAGCAAAGATGAAAGTGCTTCGATTGTAAAGAAGAGTGACGAAGAGGCGAAAGATGTCGATGATGACGAATTCGACTCAGATTCTGATCCAGCTTTTGTGACGAGACCGGGTCGTTCTCGCAGTCGTATTGGTCAGGACTGCTCACACAATGTGAGTCACAAAGTTTCCAATATTGTTCTGTAGAGGCGCATTAGAAACAGGAGCTGATCAAGTAAATTACTTCACGTTAGCCAATCATTTGAGATGTACATTATAAGATTTATAGAACTTAGTTATTTTCATGAATCTGCTTGTTCACGTTATCGGCCCTGCCCTTCAATACCCTATGCCCCGCGAGTTTCTTTTTATGTGAACATGTTGACACCTGGGGAAGACCGGGCGAAGTTCTCTCCTACTGGTCGTGCCCGGAGAGAGCAATCTCAGCCGGTGTTCTTCTCTAATGGTGAAAAAATTAGTAGAACGTAATTAATAACTCCGCCATTGGCACATTTATACTCCTGCCACGGGGTTTCAGTGGAAGAATTCATTCTGGCCAATGTTTGGACCGTCCCGTCATTTCGAGGGATTGACCATTGTTCAGAGCTTGAGTGTCGCTTTTACCCTATCAGATACCCATTCCTTTCTGGGGTTTCTGTCGTCCTTAACCGAAAAAAAATGAACCGGAAGCTCAAAGCATAAGTTTACCTAGTGCTCACCGCAAAGTGTAGGGGAGCTACTCAGGCAGCACACAAAATTCATTAGAAAAGCTAGAGAGGAGGCGTTTGATAGGGTACCGTGCACTTCTCATCGTCAGAATTTGATCCGATTTGATTTGATGTTTGGATCTTTGTCGGACGGTAGAAACGTTGGCCAAAAATTATTCTACTTAACAACCTCTTGGCCGAAGTATAAGAAGACAAAAAGTAACGGAAATGGTGGGAATTCAAGAGAGGAAGATTTGGAATTTAGTCGCCTTGACTCTTTTGGTACCTGAAGTGGAATATTTCCATACAGCCTCAAATTACGCCCCTTTCCACAACGATATCTATCCTTTATTTCGGCTGGTTTCTATACAAATCTTCTACTGCATGGTTTGTCTTATTTTTCAGGATTCCTCTCCTTTTTTTGATTGTCATTTTTAGCTATCACTAATTGTTGGAAGTGGATCCAAACAAGTAAGCCTACGCATGTTACAGGAATTTTTTCAGTAGGGTGGTGTGCTGTGCATGCGTCTTCTCACTCACGTACTCAGTTTTCTTTTGATTTTTCGTCCATTAATGAATTTCACACGGATTCGGGTCCCGATAGTCCTTGCACATGTTTGCTTCATTAATTTCCTTTACTCTGATTTTCTTCAGTACAGGCTCTCCATACATGTTACATTGTTTCCAGAGGAAACAAAAGGGTTTTGGGTATCCTATTCTATAATATTTACCTCTTGGTTGGAGCTGTGGACACCATGTGTCTGCCGAGTCAGTCGTCCTGGAACCAATATCTCTTAATGAGTGACGAATGAGCATTGGGTTCCGTGCGATACTTTCGTTGATCAGTTGAGACGCTGTTCATAGTTGCTGAGCCATTCGTTACTTCTCCAGAGTCGCCAGATTTTGATGGTAGCTCGTAGTCAAAGCGAGTTGAGTGATTCCTATTTTTTCTTACTTTTAGTGCCCGATTCCGTTCATTTCGCGGTGTATAACTGAGTGGAAGGAATCCAAACATGATATCCTCCGTTTTTTGCCGTTTTTCTGTCTGTTTCGCTGTTTCAGCGATATCGTCAAACTATGAACTATTCTGCCTCCCAGCTGTCGTTATTCTACTTTCCTCTTTTTTTTTTGCTGCAAGTCAATATTGGTTTGTAGCTTCCGCTGCATCTGGGTATTACTTCGATTGCACCGGCACTAACAATGCACGCATGTTTCTGCCTTGCTTTAGCTCACTTCTCGGTTCTTAGGAAAAGAGCTTACTGTACTGTTGTTATTTATTTTATTGTTACATTTTTAGCACCTTGCATTGAAACTAGTTAATCTTGATGAAAACGCAGAGATTGAAGAATTCACCGATAGTGAGGCGGCAAGGCGCAAACAAAAACTAGCCAGTGAGTTTCATCTTGCTCTTTGTTGTGTGGAATGAATTTACCTCAATTCCAGACGCTCAAAATTTGAATATGCGTGGTGTGTTCCTTCACATTTTATCAGATGCAATTGGATCAGTGTTTGTTATTATAACTGGCGTCTATTGCGTTATTTTTCCCTAACTCTCTTGGAGCACTGAACGATTACTTGGATCCTGCTTTGAGGTATAACCATTTTATCCGTGCTCTCTGAAGTTTTAGAAGCCTTTTAAAACAACGATTTTCTAATTATTATCCTATCTCCTGATGGAGACCTTATTTTGAGGTCCATCCAGGAGATAGGATACTAACCAAAAATCTCAGAGAACTAGATGAGGATTATTTTGAGGTTTTTTAGAAAAATCTTGTATTATGAGGCCGCTTGGAGTACTATGATTGAACTAGGTGTTTAGTTTCATAATGGTCACAAAAATTTTTTCCATTGTTCTATGAAATTGGTTTTGTATTTCAGTCTCACCTTGGTCAACGCTTATATGTTTCTCTGCATATTCCCTCGTAAGGGAGACGGCAAGCATTATACTTCGCAGAACGCCTGCTTTCTTAGACCTGGACGACATCAAAGCCGACATAATGAAGGTACGTGACATACGGTTAATTTTTGCCTATAAGAAACAAGCGGTCTTGTCAAAGACCATAAGTTTTTAATGTTCTATGTCCTGGAGAATGCATAGTATTCGGTTTCAATGTTCTTCCTTCTTTTGTTCCACCGTTGCGCTTCGACGTTATTCTTTCTTCTTTTTTTTTTCCCGCTCCGAGTGTTAGCTGGTTTCAAAGATCATGTGCTTGGACTCTTGTGTGGGAACCGGCAGTTTGCTATCACTGAGGTGAGTTTTTACTCACACATTTCAGTATGTATCTACGTTCGCATTTAGTACAATGATAATGGTGAATTGAAATAATATCTATCGTTGCTCTCAACTTTGTCCATGCGTGATTTTATTCGCTTATCTGACTCGTTCAGTCTTTTTTAAAGTTGGAGATCGGGAAGAATTTAATGGGCATGGCAGTCGAGGTGTAGCGTGAACTCAACATTCTGCCTTCCAACGCATACCGCGCGAGCTTTGCTAGGTTTCTTCATCGTACCCTTATAGCCTACAGGGTATAGTGGTAGTTTTACGGTTAGAAGCCAACTGCAGCTATCGTTGGGGGAAGCTGGCTGCAGACTCGCTTAGGAGTAGATATTATAGTTCAAAATTCCACGTCGCTCCATGCTGTTGTGAAGCCAGGACAGCCTTCGTCTGAACGTGCGTTAGACTCGAAAGCTTTCCGCGTCCTATCTCAATTCCACCATATCTGACAATGAGCCACTTTTTTGAAACGTATCGTGAGAACAATTGATTTAGAGTCAATTAGGCGCTTTCTCTACGTTCTGTGATCTGCCTACCTCGAACTCGAGCAAAAATTCGGAGAGCCATTGGTCCTTTATTTGCGAGATCAAAGATCTCATTATTGTTATAAAGTTTATGATTGTAGTTATGATTATGTTATAATTTCCTTTGGTTTTCAGATTGAGTTCTGTACACCGGCTTCCTTTGACACGGCCGCTCCCAAGATTCGTAAGGTTTTTCACAAACATGGAATTCACTCCTTGACAATACAGCCGATCTTTTCTTCTGTAAGTCTTTTTCATTCTGGGTCTTGAAATCAGTGGAGAACATTAGCGATTCAGAACACCTGTTCTAACATCAGCCCGTTACCAACTCATACACTCGATGTTATAAAGGAAGATGTTAGTAATAGCGCGGATACAGTGAGTTGCTTCTCGTGGTTCTTTTACTGTTCGTCTTTTTCCGCTATCTGTGGTTTCTGTTTCAGCCTCTTCTTAACGAAAGTCAGCAATGATCATCATCAATATTCACTTTTATGCAGTTTTTATTGCATTTTCTCATGTTGGTAGCATTACTAGTGGCCAAAGCATTTGTGATTCGCTAGTTCATAAAGTGCCACAAGGACCTTAGCTTTAATTTACTCGTCATGCTTCTGTACACATTCCTCGTCAAAAGGTCTTATATGCCTACAATGCTCCTCGAACTATCAGATTCTGGTTTGTGATAGTTTTATGCTTGATATAGCTAAATATAAACTATTACTCTATCAAAAGGTTTTCATTTACGTAGATTTTCGATTGAATAAATTTAGAGCATATACATATTCTAAGGCATCTACATTCGACATTGCTTCCGGAGAGAGTGAAGCAATACGTTACTGCTATTTCACTTCATTGTCATTTTTTATTTATTTTTTAACTCTCAATACTCAGAAAAACTTCTCAGTCTTGTTTTGTTTTTATATGTCAACTTACTGTCAACTACCACTGTTATCCGCAGTTCGCCTTGCGAAAGTTCCACAAGAATACTGGGCTATGAACGAAACTTCAGCCTGAGGCGTGAACCCGCACCTCTGGCAGACCGGGCAAGTGCGCTACAAGTTACGCTACCGGGGCACCGTTTTGCAACAACTCTTTTTTTGCTATTCGATGATTATGTAGAGGGTAACTGAGTAGTTAACTGAGTGTTTAGAAAATTCCGAAGATATTTCACCTACTATACATTTAAAATGGATAATACCATGAGAAGTCCTGTGAGCATCACTCACCTCTCTGGTAGGTGTCACACTTCGCGATTGTAATCGCATTTCAGTCGATTAAGGTGAGCCATATAATCAATAACGACCGCGATTGTAATTGTGAAGTCTGACACGTACCTCCAAGACACTTGGCCAGAAAGAGTGGACACTGGCTGTCAGTACATCACCCTGTTAGATTCATAAAATCAAAGTCCGTTCCAGCGAGGCAAGCCTACTTTATGGGATGGCGAAAGATCTCTTAGAAGAGGACAGTGGTGAGGGCTCTGCGATGTGTTTATGGGGTGCGCCACGCACTCTACCTATTTGAAAAAAGGTGTTTTTGCCTTCTGCCTTAAACGGTTTGTAATCGAGACGCAGTCCTTCAAAGCAAACGTGAGACAGATTAACCCACTCAATGGAAACGAGAGCCTGCTAGCCCTGTGATTCCATCTAAGGGTTGGGTCTGTGGTGACAGCTTTTGCTCTTACCTCACCTTGGCTACAATAACCTCTAAATTGCGGTGACATGAAGGAGATGAAAACCATGCACGAAAGGCATTTTCTCCTCTTAAACTTCGCAAAGAATTCAAGATGTTCCCATTCATTTGCGCCCGTTTTTCATGCATCTGCATCATACCTTTTCGCTTAAAAACTTCAGAATGTTCGTCAGCTGCTCAAGTTGCTGACGCAGGTTGTTTACAGTCTGTTAGTGTGAGTTAAAAGGAACTTCCCTGGAGTGAGCAAGGGATGTGTTGGAAAACCAGTAAAGTGTGCGGGGGTTAGGTTTCTCGTGTGAAATCCTTATTGTAACTCGTAAAATAAAATGTTTCTCTACATCCTGATCACATTGTGGCGGTTAATTACCGTTTATACTTCTTTTATACTTTTATCGCCATTACTTCCATAATCATGCGGAGTAGATTTACCATCTGTATTAGTCAATTAATCATGTCTCAGATTAGTAGAGTAATACTGGATGGATGATAACTGCTCCTTCACTGACACTGTTGACGTCACTATTGAAATTGATGACGAAGTTGCTCAGGTAAGTTTATAATGTCGAAGTAACCTATTATAAATAAATTTGTCGCTTTAAGGGTATAGGCGCTAAAGAAGTGAGTGCAAGAAAACAGGGACCATGGATAAGACCACCTCTTCGACTGGAAGACGTTCGTATCGGAGGTGTGAATACAATAAGGTGAGCCTGATATGTAGTAGAGGGTAATAGGCAGGTAGAGGGGGCGGAGTGGCATGTGCTATGGCAGCTGCAGCTGCATTGCTCTCAAAGGGTACATAGGATCGGTGCCGGCGAGACCTACAGGCCTATCCGAGAGTTGGGGTAGGCGTGTCACCGGAAGTGACGTGCACTTGATAGAAGTTGCGTGGATAAGCTGTTGCCAGCATGCTTTGCTGATATCCAGCGATGTATGTTGGAAGCAGCTTATCCACATACATCTATCAAGTGCGGCTCACTTCCGGTGACACGCCTACCCCAACTCTCGGATATCGACTGTAGCTTTGTATTTGCACGCGCTCCTTTCTTCGGAGCCGATTTTTTCTGGTTGGATAGTGAGGCTGGCTTGAGTACGTTGAATAAATGGCCATTCGTTCCAAAGGGACTATTGACAAAGGCTCAGTTCAATTTGCTTACAATTCTGTTCAAAAGTTCAATGTGTAGTCATACCTTGAAGGCAAGGTCCGGGATTTCTGGATGAAATGAAAAAATGCTCTTGCGCGAGAAGCATGGATTGGGAAGGTGGAGCGCTCAGGGATGTGGTAGTTGTAGGTCAGATGAGCGGACTTTTTCCGACAGGTCTACCGCTGATCATGAGTTGATCTGGAGTTCCCGCAGCGAAAAATGTCTTGCGCTGTGAAACTTGAAAAAGACGCTTCGAACCACACCCAGGAGAATGTACCCACTTGACGCCACGGCTCAACAAGGGTTCAAGATATTTGGTGAATCCTTAGCGCTAGCCGAAGGATTCACAATACGCAATCCCAACAAACGATGCTCCTTCACTTCGCCGCTGCTGCAGAGCGAGCTGCTTCTTGCGATAGACGGTTTCCCGAATGTCGAATTTACTGGCGGATACACTTCGCTTTACAGGGAGTAGCTAGACCAATTCGTTCCGACTGCCACAAAGGGATGCAATCACAAAGGTGTCTAATAAATAATCATCTTGTGCCCTTTTGTGTATCAAGGCTACAGTCTTTAGATCGGCAAGCTCAGCAATGAAGCTATTGCATTGCTGACCTCTAATCTAATATGCCTTCCTACGGATCGCTCAAGAACTGGGATTCTGTCGGTATATATCTAGGAATTCCAGACCATGAAATTATGGTGAGATTATTCATTGGTATTTGATTAAGAACTGAGTGTTTGCATTCAATTTCACATTTCCTACTGATTTTACAGTATTTGGCTGAGTTTATGATGAAAAAGCAGCACATTTTAGAATTTCAGGGGTAAAGTGGGTCAGCCGTGATGGGGTGAAGGAAAACCCTTAGGTAATGGCTTAGAACCCAGGAAAATGGGACTCCTTTCTTGCTCATTGATTTCCGCATCGATGATTGCTAGCGCTTTTCTGCTGAATAGCAAGCCGGCGAGGAAGTGGGCGTGGCGCGGCGTGAGCTGCGCGGGTATGACCATGCTAGGCCGCTGGAGACATACACTTCGCTGGTAGGCGCATCGATTTCGCTTATGCCTGAGGCCCGCTACCTTTGGCCCAGGTCGATTGCCCTTCTTCGACCTCGTCAATCCCCTTCTAGTTGAACCTGATAATTAATTCAAGTTGTAGTTATCGCTTGGAGGACCACACATTACACGAGTATGCGTTCTGTTAAAGAGATGGAAATTATATGTGTGGGTCCATGTGTCCCTCCCATGCTTTCCGGGAATGCCGGGAAAGATTAGTCAAGATATTGTTTAGAGTTTTGTTGTTTTTTGGTTATGGAGATCGAGAGGAAACGACTCTATAGTGTTACAGCAAAACTTGAAAACGCTTTGCTCTCCTGGAACTGGGTGTTCTTCAGGTGTTATTAGATCTGCGAATTAAAAGATGACATTCACATAAAACCCTTCAACAACTAGGGTTTGATGAGTGTACACGAAAGAAGGAAGAATTCATGAGAAACGGCCAAGAACCGAGAATGGTACCCTTCCTATGCCCGGGGGACTTGATTCGAGCTATTGTGTTACGTGAGGTGAGTTTACGTTCTCATTAGGGTGGTCTTATCAGGGTAGGTGGTCTTACGATTGCAAGGGATAATCATATTTCTCTAGCACACCCGAGGGTTAAATACCAATCAGCGCGTCGTAAGAGGTACATTGGAATGTTCTGGATAAATCCAAGAAAGGTCCCACTGGGAGACGCGAAAGGGTGTGGGTAAAGTGCGCTGGTAGCTGTTGGACGAGCAGCCTCTGAAAAGCACTCTTCGACGCTTAGGGCCGCAGTGGTCTGGGCGCTGTAGTCAGACACTAAAGTGACTTTTCTGAAGTGGGCAACCATCACAACGAATATTCCATTGATGGTGTTCGCACACTTGTAATAGCAACGCATCCCGTAGTGAAAGGGAATTCACGATAAGAACGAAGGTCAAAGAAGGGGAAATTGCATAGTTGGGAGACAGGCGGACCTCCTGAGGGTGCTGACCGACGCGCAATTGGCAGCGAAAGATTTGACCTCGGCGATCTAGCATGGCTCACTCTTGGCGGTTGGCGGGTACGCCCACCGACTATCTAATCACTCGCCGCAGGTCTATACGTGGCGAGTGATTAGATAGCAGAGAGAGCGTAGTGTTGAAGAGGGCACAGCGATGAGAGTCGCATCAATGCGCAAATCAACGGGCAAGGAAGGGGTCCCATTCTCGGGTTTCGGGCCGTTTCAAATGGTTTCTTCTTCATCCCTGCTCCACTGACCACCTCTACCCTTATTTCCAATGAGCTAACTTTTCATCGTAAATTCTGCCTTTAATGAGTATCGTAACAATATTATTCGTTGTTGTCATAGTCACTACGTCAAGATGCACGACCAATGGAAGCTGTACTGAGAAGGTGTCAACATATGCCAGCTAAGGATATTATTAAAGCTCTACAACTTTGCAAACGGATAGATATCTTGTATTCGTTGAGGAAGCTTGAGCAACGAGGGAAACTTAAGAAGCCAGCAGAGCGTAAGTCTTAGTGGTTCTGAAGTTTTCAACACTAACAGCTCACAATTTGTTGCAGAATTTGCTGGGATCAATTCAGTCTCAACATCGTTAGCGTCACCATTTGTGACATCAGAAAATGCGGGCGAGGATCCCAGCAAGAGTCAGTTTGTGTTAAACATCGGACAAGCTTCATTTGAGCACACAATGACGATTAGCTCATATTCCACGGGGGGGGGGGCACGACAAATTGCTCTTTAGCACTATGAGGAAGAACACGCACTAATCACAAGTGAGGACAAAGGGTTAGCACCTCGTACGCTCTAGCGATCGACCACAACATTTTACGCCGCCCATTGTACGTCAGCTCTTACTGAGGAGTTTAGAAGATGTCACCTCTTTTCCCACAATCGAACTTCCCTGATGACTAAATCCCTGTGAAACGTCATAGTCATGCATTATTATTGCGGAATCTATTTGTGAGTGAGAAAAAGTGCTGGTTCTCTCAACTGGTGATCGCAAGAAACAAAGTAACACCAGTAACCAGTAGCACACTGATTAGACCACCGTCACACTCGGCGGCGGACAAGCGATGGAGCGATCGCCTTCTGCTCGATCGATACTGCAGCCGACTGCATAGATTGGGGGCGTGCCAATCGCTCTCGGCAGAGCGATTGCAACGCGATGGACAAGCAATGGAGCGATCGCGTCGCTCCATTGCTTGTCCATCGCGTTGCTTCGGCTCCCAGGAGTCAGGCTTTCATTGTGAGTTGAGAGAAGTAGGAACTCATGTACTTCACGCAGGCTTCCCATCCGTTTGTGTCCTTTTAGTCATCAAATTTGTCTGGGAAGGCAAAAGTTCTGGTTTGAACATTATCTTTCTACTAGTTCAATTTGTTGCAGTCTCATGCTAACAGAACACTTATTGTCACGATTCGCGTACAAAATTGGAAAGGGAAGCCAAATGCACTGCGCCTAACGAGGAAAAGTAGAATCTGTGTGGAGTAGGACGCAATTACAGGGCCATCCTAGAAAATCACCAAATTTATTGAAGTTTTCGCAGTTGCCTTAATTAAAAACCTCAGCTAACGCTATTAATTTTCAGCTATTTTGCTCGTTCATTACGAAGAAGATGCTGGAGAGACGAGGGATTTTCGATGGTTACGAAAAAACTTACTGTGAGCCTCTGAGTTGATCGTGTGGAAATATTAGAGCCTTTTTCCTTTTCAAAGTACTTATTTCATTGTGATCGTGGTCAGTACATGACTTGACAGCGAGATTTCGACGTTTTCAGAAAATACTGCGGTATCCACGGTGGGCGGGGGGGGGGGAAGGTGTCCGTTTTGACGGCTGTGGTACAGGATTTGGAATTTACGTAGCTAAACGCTCGGACTAGTGTCTTTTGACTGGTCATTCTGCAATAGTATGGATTCCTTTGGTTAGATGGACTGATCCTCCATACTTGTCCTTGGCGGCTCGAGAAGCGGCAATCTTCAAATTCCGATCGTCCACTGAATTACCCGAAATGTGAAATTTTAAGGTCATTCGAGAGGTAGGTGGGGCGCTACGCTTTAGCATAGGGGCTTCAGCGTTCCTGCACTGCAGGAATGATAATTAGTTTACTTTTCAAAGAAGGATGTTATGATTGCTACCGACGGGTAGGGGGTCATGTTCAGGATTTTGGATAAGGAGTTTGTAGGCTGCATATTTGAGGACATTGGGAATGCTGAGACGTGGGGAAAGTGGCATCGTTGTAGTCGATGTGAGCTACGTTTTTCGTTTTCCGTTAAGTGCTACCGTTTCCAAAAGACCTTTTGACATCCCCGACCTTACTGAAAAGTCAGGAAGGAGGACGCAGGGGGGGGGGGGGAGGGTCGTATTGTAGATCGTACTACAGTGAGAGGCGGAGGAGGAGGAAGTCGTATCAGCCGGAATTTTCACTACACTTGGCTCACCTTAAACTACACCCTCCTCCGCCGCCCCCGATTAGCTTCTCGGGTAATGCTATTATCCTTTTATCCGAAATAAATTCTAAGAATATGATATATGAATCACAATGCTTATGTAAATATTGTAGCGGTTCTGTCATCCTTACTGATTACTGCTTTGAAGGCAATACGCTTCACAACATGGATTCCGTATTAGCGACATAGCAGACTTGGACATCGATGTGAACCTGACTTCTACTGTGGAGGAAGCCTTTGCCAAGGTTCTATCAGCTGTAAAACAAGTCTAAGCTCTTTCGATAAACGAGGTTTCAGGCGCATCAAATTGTCGTCAGCTTCACGCCAACTCACATAGAAGCTGTGAAATCGAGAAATCCGGCTTGCAGAAGCGTCTTGTACATGCACGATCTTATGAGTCAAGAGTTCTTCACATTAAACAGCATCAACAAGCGATTCCGGCCCGTAATTTTTAATGTAAGTTCGTAGTTTACTTGAAGGCTGGGTATAAGTTATGGGCTGAAACAAATTCCTTTGAAGGACACCCAACCAAGTGATCTTCCAGTCGGCTGGCCGCGTTCGACGCTTGTCTATCATTTTCCTACAAACATGGCTGCTCTTTGTGCAAAGATTTTCAAAGGCAGAGACCTTGACAATAAATCCAAGATGGTGACAAGCTAGGATTTTTCTTCTTTTACTTTGTTTGTAAGTCCATGTAGTACATGATTAAGTGATGTTATCATACGGGTGTGTATGTAATAACAAGTTGTTTTGTTTACTCGTTCTCAAGCAGTCTCGCATACATTACAGTACATTACGCGAAAACGTCCCGTGAAGGTAAGCCTGTCCAAAACGTGAGCAATTGGCATGCATAAGCTGCCAAATAGTGAGTGTCCGTATTAAAAAATCTCACATGCGTCAGAAAATAAACAATATATTTTCTTTATGGTTAGTTCCTCATGCCTTCTCCAAATCAGGATAGTCCACTATGTTGTGTGATTGCCAAGGGTGTTAGCATGGCACAATGTCATTTAAAGAAGAATTCACGTGCAAAGCAACCTTTTCAAATTAACCTAGGGATGGTGAGTGGTACACGAAAGAAGGAAGAACCATGAGAAACGGCCCAGAACCCGAGAAATGGTACCCCTTCCTTGCCCGTTGATTCGAGCATTGATGCGACTCTCATCGCTGTGCCCTCTTCAACACTACGCTCTCTCAGCTATCTAATCACTCGCCACGTATTGAACTACGGCGAGTGATCAGATGATCGGTGGGCGGAGATCGCCGGACCCGCCAGCTTTGAGGCATGATAGGTCGCCGAGGTCAAATTTTCCATGGCGATTGCGTGTGCAGTTCGCTACCGCTGCAGTGAGTCCGTGGGTCTCAGCTAGGTCATTCGCCTTCTTCAACTTCAGTCTATGTGGATTTTCCTTTATTTGGATGTGGTAGCAAGGTTATCTATAATCACGGACACCCTGCACGAAGAGTGGTATTGGGATCATAAACATACCTCAGTGTGAAAGGTAGCTTCCCTATCTCGATGTTCGATAGTTGACTAGAGTTTTAATAAATGTATGAATGTCATTTGTGTTCATTTTTTCAGCTGTTGTTATTAGTGTATTTGAAAAAAAATTATTCGGCGCATCTACTGTTAAATAGTTTTTTGGAAACTTTCGCGTGCGTGATGCAAAGGCCTCGCTTCTGGGTTAATTAGCTGTGAAACATAATAATGAGAAGTCCAGATCGGGAAATAATAGCTAGTCAACTGGGGCAGTTACTGATTGGCAACTGCCGAAAATTCAAGGGAGACGTAAAGTCAGTGTCCAAGCAGGGTCAAGCGAGGCGTCGAGGAAAATTTGGAAATACGACCCCCCCTCCCTTCCGCCAGACCGAAGTCCATGAAACGACCCTCTTCAAAAGCCGAACTATGGAAAGGTTGTCTAATTCTCCCCCAAAACTGTTCATAAAAAAGCCCTGCTATCACACCGTCAACCGAAAATTCTTTTAAAAAGTACAAAAGTGAAAAGTCAAAAAATTAATCATTATTGATGAGTCCTACCAAACGAGCAAACGAAAAAAGCAGCAGAAAACCTCAAACTACTCACTAAAAATGCATACTATGACAACATCTCTTCTTTATTTATTTCCTCCACAAGACTTACCAAAATTCTAGTACTACACAGATTGTGGTTCTCAATTTGCACGTAGCCCTTCAGTTGAAAGAAGCTTTTTAACCGCCTTCGCCAGCTGTGTGTTGACTGGACTTTGGCGTTGACCGTGGAGCAGCTTATTTACTATTGAAATTTGAACAAATATTCAAATGATTATAACTTTCTTCAAATATGACGAATTTTCAATCTGAAAGCAGATTTGGGAGTTTTGTGAAGAGCTTTTTCTAATCAGTATTGAAATTACAAAAATTTATAAGAAATAACAAATTTAGATCAATTAACGAGGAAAATTCATGATGAGCACGAGTTTTTACACTTTCCGAGGCCGTAACTTGCTCCCTTTTCATCATTCCCGGAAAGTTATATGTCAGACAAAACTAGAAGATTTTCTCTATCAAATGGTTGCTAAAGCAGCTTTATACGTCCAGTATTTAAAAAATGGCCACGTTGAGGATTTTTGCAAAATTAACGAGGAAAATTTGTGATGAGTGCGAGTTTTTACGCTTTCCAAGCCATAACTACCGTTCAAACCCATCCAATCTGAAAAGTAAATACGTCAGCATAAACTAGAAGAATTGCACTATTCAACGGTTACCAGGACTGCTAAAAACGTCCACAACTTAAAAAATGGCCACGTTGAGGATTTTTACCCGAGTACCGCCGAAAGGTACTTTTTCGCTGCATTAGCACTACTCCAACGACTATAGCTCCTTTCAGAGGCAATTATACACTGAAAGTGAGAGCAGATTCGAAAAAAATTTCTTTTTTGTTTTGTTTTTTTCTCTTTCCAAGAATGTGAAACTTGTTTAGCGTGTCTTAACTTTCACGATTACATGCTTGTGAATTTGACGCTGTGAAGGCTGCATTTCTTGCTCAATAGTGTACTCCTCCATGTAATCTCACACAGACCCTTTCAGGATCCTCTTAATTTTTCTCTGAATTGAGAGTTTTTCTCTCAAGAGCCGTAGTTAAAGCGCGCGCAACTAACTGGGCCCACTCTGGTATGCGCCGTGTGCTTCACATCCCTTGAGATTCGAGGACTCACCTGAAAGATAAAATATCCGTTGGAAAACGTGCGAATTTTGGATTTTTTTGACTTGTTAGTGATAGTTTAAAGATAAAACTCTGAGGTAGTGAAAAATCACTACGCGCACACCTCTGAATCACGAAAATTTTATGTGGGCGGAACAGCATTGGTACTGGAAGTCCTCTGGCCTTCCATGGCATCGACTCGATCCCTGATGTTTGTCCTCCGACAGTGGTGCATCAATCCGGCCCGATCCCTTCCTCCCAGCGGGCCAATACGACCCCCCCCCCTGCGACGTGTTGAGGATTCCTCAACGCACACTTGACCCTGGTAACAAAGCACAACTGCTTTCTTGACAAAGTGCCTGAGGAGGCATGATTCATCCGAGGCAGCCGAAGTTTCAACGTGCAGTGGTAGCTGAGGTGTTAAGAGCGTTTCCCATACGAAAAAGGCTCCCTTTTCTCCTAAATCATAAAGTAGCTATGATTGCTTCCCTGACTGCATCAGCATAAATAATGGTGGGAAATTGAGAGTGCAGAGTAATGCTAAGGCTGCTAATCTGAAGGGGTAACGTCAAATTATATGTATTTTAGTGGGTCTTCATGCATTTCTAGCGGTACTGTCTACGCGTTGGTAAGTACTTATTCTGATAGTAGATGTTTCAAACGCATAAATTGCGTGCATAAATTTCATACCAAAAGATAGTCTGCAGTACTTCCTTAATTTGGACATATTTATCTGAACGTCAATCATTTGAGAACTCATTGTATTAAGAAGACAAAATAAACGCGTATTCATTTGAAAACCACAATAAATATCACAATTTACTGACTAGCTCCTAACAACATATGCAGTTAAAGAAACATTGACCGAATGAACAAAAGTCAAACCACTAGGAGCGAAGCAACGAGAGACCCCTTAGACCCGCAAAGCATTTTGTAAGAAAAAATTAGGACAGCACCCGAAATGCCCATCATGGACATCGTAGCCTACTGGGAATAGTACAACATACTCCAAGGGATTACATACGAATGACTCTAATCCTAAGTATTCGCTCTCCATTTTGACATATGTGTCAAGAACTGCACGGGGATCACTGGGAGAGACAATAATAGGTAAGTGGCCTGCCGGATGCAGTTTTTGCTCCCCACAACCGAAACCTTGACGACTTTCTCTCAAAATTTCACCTTCGAAACAAATTCAAAATTTACCAATTCAATTCTTCGAAGTAATTCCCACACCCATGTGTCACTGTAGCGTATCAAAGTGTGACGCTTGAACCATTTTCCAAAAGACAGTGCCAGTTTTCGTTTACTTCGGAAATACGGAAGAATTCCACTGAAAATTACTGCGGAGCTTCCAATGATTTACCGCAAGCGAATGAGTCGTGCAGAGCACTCCACAGTAGCTCCAGCAGTGTATGACATATCAGCCAGAGTTAATAAACCGGCTTATACTTCTTCAATTCTACCAATATATGATGAATATTGACCATGTCGTTACGTGCCGGATTATCACGGAAAATTTCATGCGACACCAATTTGGAGAACCGCTGTACATACTGAACCAACTGCGTGAATACGGCCTGAAACTTGGTTTTCGTACTTAATTCAACAAACCTATGCAGTGAAAGCTCACCTGAAGAATATTTGTGCCATTTTTGAAGTTTGTGAAGGATTTCACAACTTCGCCATTTATAGCATCTATTGAACGCCTCCAATTTGCAGAAAACGTTTGTACCACTGCCGTCAGTTTGTCTACAAAGCAATAAAATCAAATTAAGAAGTAAAAACGGACGAAATTTAGAGTTACCATTGTATCGAACCAGAAGATGAGTATGCCCCTGCTGAACTAATGGTTCACATTCACTAACAAACGAAAGTAGCGAGGAAAAATGGGGTTGCAGTGTTGCCTGGAAGAAAATGAAGAACACTTCACAACTAAAATGATAAACAATAAATAGTAGAATCTTTACCTCTACGAATTCTCCGATAGCCTTCTGCTCCAACTCATGAATTATCGAATGGAATTCGGCTATCTTGGACCACTCGTTCCTTTAAATAATGCAAGGTAAGGGTAAGCCATGATCATGCAAGAGGTCCGTCACAATAATATGGATTGAAAGACATCGCATTCCGAAGACATTAGAACATACACATCAGGATTATACAAGTGTCAGGTCGTAATTATGATAAGGAAGACTAGCCGATCTCTAGTATTCGGTAGGCAGGAGGACATTCGGAGAAGAAGTTGTTCGACAGCGTCCTCACACGACTCAAGGATGGCTTCCATTTTCTTTCCCAACTAAACATAAAATTTATCTTTCTGTTCTGTGGAAATAGGTGAAGGAGAAGATCCAAAGCACCTCTCGTCCACTCGATTCTGTAACAACGAGGAAAGCGCACGTCAACTCAGCATATCGCCTCACAATCTAAACCAAAATAAGCGATTCGTTTCGGAACGACAGCGTGCCGTATCGGGGAAGCATCTAGTTAGTAGTAGTCAGATCCGACTTCATATGAAGTGCAGTTAAGAGAAAACATACAGAACATAGCAGTGCAAAATTTCATAACGAATGAAGACAGTAATTTAAAAATGGTTCAAGAGTTGCTAAGTTTTAAGGAGGGAATGCTCCACAACAGGAACCAGGAAACCTTATAGAAATGGCCACGAAATAATTTAGGCACAACGATTCAAGTCAGTTCGAATCCAAAAAGCTTTTGTGGAGACCAATTAATTAAGAATAAGTCAGAGAAAGCCGCTGAACATATTATTTGCTCATTCTGACGTCTCAGCTTCAAAGAAAGATCAAAGGTAATAGAAATGTCGAGTGTGAACTTGGATACTCGTAACGTCTTTAGAAAGACAGCTTTACAGATTGAAAACACCTACATAGTGTGGTCTCGTATCGATCGGTGTTTGCATACGTTTAACATCAAGGGCCTTTACACTATCATTATGCATCTGCATTACTTGCGCTAGCCTGGTCCACAGCTGATTTGATATTGCTTCCCAGTATCTGAAAACAGGATCCATCAGAAGATGCCTACCGATACAACATATGGAAAAAATGGCTAAAGCGCATGTGAAGATGTTTCAAATGAATGCTTACTATCAAACTATGGATCTTATGAAAGCGGAAATTGTAGAAAAAAAGCTCACCCGCTCATTGACGGGATTTCTCTTTCGGTCAATAACCGGTGAAACTTGTCACATAGACAAATGCACAGATGAAGGCTAATGCAGTCGAAATTAACCGCAATCCTCTCATCGAACGCTCGAACCAAATGAGCCATCGCACGTCCCATAACCTTGAGCGTAAATTCAATAATAGCAGCTATGCTTTAGAAACTACAAATTATTCTTTACCTTCGCATGTAGATCAATTGCTGTTTGGCCTGATACCATGAAAAAATCGGTCAGAAACAAAAACTCATGGCTACAGTGATCCACGAAAGCAAGATGAATTGAGCGGAACAAAGCTTCGAATTGGAACTGGAAAATTTGAAAAGGTTTAAAATCCAACAAAAAAATCTGATTATTGAAGAAATACTGTTTATCATTCGAAGAATTTGGATGACCGCCCAAATGGTTGCAGTCTAACAATGCAACACAGGAAAATTGCGCTTAATCAAACCTAAGCTGATATGGTACGAGAATTTGAAGTGAGTGAGAAATCGGGAAAATACCTTCTGATTAGCTTCTTGGGCAGCATGAGGAACAATAAGAGGATTAAGGAAATCGTGTGTTAGTATCTCTTGTCGAGAACCCAATGAAAACACCGTTGCCCTATTTCGATGCTGAAAAGCATTGAACATGTAATATAAAAACAAACTAAAGCAAAATAAAAACAAACTGAAGCAAAATAAAGATAAACTAAAGCAATACATTCCACTTACATGAGGCTTTCCTGCAAATAAGCCAGAGATACCTCCAGATTTCACCACATCCTCAGCACCTAATAAATCATCTTTGGAAGCGGCGTCCAGCATCTGAAATTATAAGCAAAACAATAGACAACTGCGGAGATAATATCTAGTGAGGCTAAGTTTCACACCCTTAGTGGTATAGATATGTGGAATAGATCGCCTTTACCTCATCCCACCCGGAAGAATTACTCAATCGTGATGTGACGGATCACACATATTATTCCAGCGCATACTCTCCTCCCACCACAACCCGATCGGGAAAGAAACATTTGAATTTCATTCATGCTCCCGCGCAGGAATGTCCAAAAGGCGGTTTGTAAGGTGAAATGATTTTCAACGAATGTCACCGTAACGGATCTAATGTACCTTACGAGATTAACAGAAGGCACTTTATTTAAGAAAATGGCACAACACAAACGTACCAATAATTTGAACAAACGTGTGACGTAGGCTTTGAAGTAGGAGAAAAACATTTTGCTGACTGTATCAACGTATTCATCTTGCACCTGAAAAACGGAAGGGACCATGGCCATAGACAGTGAATAAATATTCAAGGGATCAAGACGAATTCTTCCCACATACTTGTAGGAGATTCGGGACAAACCTCTTGAGCTATGTTGCTCTCATTTGCGGCGAGGAACTCGTAAAAGAATCGCGACTTCAGAAGCTGATGTTGTGGAACTTGGTAATTGGATAAAGGCTTGCGAAACATGTAGACTTTCGAGAGGATCCACTCTCTTATTTTTTCGATAGCCTAAAAACGAGTACATAAAAGACCTTCGAAAAAAAAGCATGTAAATCATACCTTGAATTTCAGGCTTTCTAGAACCCCTAGCACATCGTAAACAGAACGCGCATCCTTGGACTCTTGAGCCTTGATGAAGTTGATCTTATGCTGTAATTCGTGCAACTGCTCAAGAAAAGCACGATCATTTACATCAGTTTCCATTATAACTCTGCAAAGAAAACAGAAATAAGATGAAATTTATTGAAGCGGAAACCTCTTACTTTATCATATTCTGTGGGACGATAATGTCATCCACAAACTGGCTCAGCTCGCCCCGAACCTTTGCCTATTCTCCAGTTCCTAAAATGGACACATTTCATTATTTGATACCAAGAATATTCCGGAACATGAGGGGATCGAAATTCACCTGGTTTATCGAAACGGACTGCTCTTGCAACCGTTTCATATCTTCACTGATAGTGCCAAGGTCGCCTTGGAAACCAAGCAGCATTTTCTCCAAACGCTACAAAATGTTCAAGCTTTGCTATGCGTCAGCTGTGTACACAAAGAAAAGAATTATGCTTTATGATATACACGCGCACAATTGCATAAAACCTCCATCACCTCTGACCCCCTTTCACTTAGTCCTATCCATGTTCATCCCACAACATTTGCAGCAATTTTGAAGCCCCGAGATCAACCCGCCCTTAATCTGATTTTTCAAGTTGGTCAGCTTGTTAAGCTTTTTCGTTTTTCAGTGTATTGTAATTGTCTCATCTAGATCGATTGTGATGATGTAAAATTAGCATGTTTGTATTTGTAAACCTGAAGAAGGGCTTAAGGCCCGAAACGTCGTCCCATAAAGCTGTTTGAAGAGTTTCATCTGGGAATTATCACGGAAGAATATCAAACAAGGGTGAGCCGAGGAACCTCTTAATTGCTATACTATCGATTGAAAAGTTACCTCAAAGACTTGATCACAAGCAAGTATTTGGTTGTGGAGATCTGTCAGTTTATCAGCATTCTGAATACATTCTTTCACAGCTATTCGGTGTGCTTCAGTGAGCTCCTCGTTCACTTGAACTGAAACCAGCGTCGTTGATTACGTTCTATTTGTAAAAAAACGAGTAATAAATTGATATAAAGCGTATACCGGAAAAGTTGCTAAGATCATGGCCGGCTGACAGTGCTTCTCGAACAATACTTTCATCTGCAGTGGACAGTTCGGCTAGACAATCTTCGACAGCTTTCAAACTATTTACTGACTTATCCTTTCGGATAGACATCTAAAAAACTAAATGTGGGTTCAGCGAGTGAGCAAGGCAGGTTCATCAAAACGAGGAAATGGGAGAGATTGCGAACAGGATGAGACAAGAAGCCTTCTTCAGCATTTATGAAGGGCTACCGTAACCCAAAAAGGGCGTAAAATGGAGTGCTACGTTGTCGTAATCGTGCACACTACACCAGGCTTCACGCCAAATGCACTGGAACATGCCTGCTTCGGTGGAATTCGTGAAATTGAATGTCTGCTGTATCTGTGAAGCTGAACTCACCAAAAAGACAAATCGTTAGAATAAAGTAGCAAATTCTTAGAACAACTCGTAGTACGTTGACGCGTAAAGCTTGAAGTTTTTCCGCATATATGCACAACAGCACAAATTTAATTTTAATTGTTGTATCTGATTTAAATGATCTTGGAACATCTCTCAGAGTTTGCAAATTCCTAGAATAAGTCCTCGGAAGATTTTGAATTTGAATAGATTGTACCTGAAATGGGCTTCGGACATGGCTTTGGATACTTCTTTGTGGGTTCATCGTAGCTAAGCTGTGGTCGAAAGAGTCAAGTTCACAAAGTTCTGAAGATTGCTGACGCCCATCTTACGCTTTAAATCATCAACGCTGAGAAGGCAGAGGAGTGAAATTTTATCATGTGGGAGAGACAAAGCCTACTCAGCAAATCAAGACAAAACGGAATCGATCTCAGTAAGGAGTTACTTTTAATCTTCCCGTTCTCATCAACCTTACGGATCTGAACATTATAAGCGTTAAAAGACTTGACCTCTTAAAGCCAGAAATTAGGCCGAGTGGGTCGCACGCATAATTCAAAGTTCTGGTAGATACATTACACTTTTTGAGGTGCACACCCTTCTTTTCAACCATTTACTTACTTGAGTGTTTACTGTAGGAGGAAGCGCACTGTTCCGTTTTTTAGGAGTTGGGCCAATGTAAGTCTTGGAGGAAAGCGCAGACGTCTCTTGTTACTAAATTTATTTCAAGATTCTGCACAAATTTGGCAGGCAGAGGTCGCACCGCCGGGAATCTGAGAGTGTGGCTCCGTCCTAGCCCCTCTACGGTACAATTATGAAAATAAAAAAATGAGTTGCAATGCTTTCAAAACGCATGCGCAAGCATATCGCTGGCTTTATCGCTGCCCTACAATAGAGAGGGAGTATATAAAGGCGCGCATACAGAATCAATACCATACCTGTGATTGCACAGTGTTTCTACTTTACGATTCTTTTCTCATGCGAACTTAAGTTATGTGATGCATAGGTGTGGTGTTACGATGTTTTGCGTATGAATTATTGGATGTGCTGGTGTGTGCGTCATTGTCGCACTATCTGTGGCTCAAAAATGAAAGTCAGTAAGCTTCCCGAATGGCTGTGATTCCTTACCACGCCGCTTGCGTAACTGTAGTGAAGCTCTATGAAGCACCACAAGTAACGCTTTGTGTGCTGATGATGTGCAAGTCCAAGATGCGCATCCACACCACTGTGTTGTTGAGAGTCAATATATGATACTCCATTTACCAAGAGATACAATAGAACACTCCGCGTTTCAAACGCATACAATTAAAAATTAAACGCTCTCATTCCATTACATGAATCCCAATATGGCCTGCACCCCCTTGGCGTGTTCGTCGTAAAGCTTGGTGTGATGCGTGCGGCGACCGCAGCATAACACCTCAGTTTGCGTCTTTTTCGGTGGGTTACGGTAGCCCCTCATAAATGCTGAAGAAGACTTCTTGTGGAATTGAGGGGGTGGTGTCATCGCCAGGTGGGGCATCGCTGCGCGGACTGAGCCTAGGACGGGGAAATGAAAAGTGCTTCAAAATCCCTATCGATCAGTCTCCCCAAAACTAAACGAAGTAGCTAGTGAGTATCGATATTCCAAAAAACCTTTTCCATAATTTTTCTGTAATATACATACGAACGCATAGTAAACGAGGACGAGTTTCCTTCCCTGGTTGCCATTTTGACAAAATTCACGAGCGAGGCCTGACATGGAACAGAACAGGAAGAAAACAAATAAATTACACATCATTAAAATAAAAAGCAAACAAGATCAGCTGCGAATACGGCTCTGAAAAAACGCAAGCGTGTGCGAAGCGGATTCTCTTTGGAGCAGCTAATCATGCGGATGCAACTCTATCGGCCGTGTATTCTACCACACGGAGGCGCGAACCGACTTTGTTGATTCATTTTGAAATATAAGCCTCTGTATTCAACTTTCGCTGAAGACCGTGGCAGGTTTTGAAGGCTCCCCCACTTTCTTCACGATTTGGGGCGCGGCCGCGGCGAGCGCGGACGAGTCGATAGTGCCCGCGAACTGTGGTGGTGATGCGTTTTCAAATTTACCCACACAGTTCGCGGGCACTATCGACTCGTCCGCACTCGCCGCGGCCGCGCCTCAAATCGTTAAGTCGGTTTTGAATGCTTATTTAGTCCCCAGCCCAAGCCAGATGCATTAGACTTTGAAAAAAAAACAACGACACAACACACAGACCGAGTCCGAAATATCTTGAGTTCGTGTTTTTTGATAGCCAGACATTGCTATCGATTATTCTGAAAAAATGGTGTTGCCTTGCCATATCCTAGGAGTCACA